AACACATAGAACAATATGGGAAATACTCCTATTACAAACTCAACTTAACCAAAACACAGGCGATGGGGATTAATATACACAAACAACAAATGGAAACACTAAAGGAGAATTTCCCCCTAGACTGGCGAACAGACTTCCTAAACTTCCTAGGCCTCAAAATCGTGAAAAATCCAGCAAACCTTTTCAAGCTCAACTACTTGAGTATTTTATCGAACTTTAAGGACACTCTGAAAACTTGGGAAGGGAAATACATATCTTGGGTAGGTCGTATAACAGCAGTAAAAATGACACTCCTACCTAAACTCCAATATCTGTATAGAACCTTACAAATCCCACTGCCCAAAATCTTCTTTCTCACGGCCCAAAACTTACTCCTTAGATTCGTGTGGCAAAACAAAAAAATCAGAATAGCCACAAAGATTATACAAAGAGAGGTAATCAAAGGTGGTCTAGGGTTCCCTGACATACAAACTTATTACTAAGCAGCAATCCTCCATACAATATCACAGCTCAAACCACGACCTGACCAACCACAATGGCTTGGGATAGAATCCCACTGGGCTCACCACTCCACAATTTACTCATACCTCTGGACCCCAAAACATTGCAGACCCACGACACACCACTTGCTCCCCACATCCCAATTACTACTCGAAATATGGGACTCAGTAAAGAACAGCATGACGGCCTACCAGCCAATACCCCTAGCGACCCCAATGGATGTAATGTCCAGGATAATACCCACACTAGATCAAAAAAGATGGTTAGAACACGATATCAAACACATTGAACAGCTATATGACGGGAGGGAAATCATGCAATTCCCGGCACTGCAAACCATGTACAATCTCCCCAGTCAGATGCTGTTTCCGTACCTGCAACTTAAGTCATGCCTAGAACACACCCGACCCCAAACACTACACGATGAACCACACCAGAAATTATCTACTTTTGAAAAAATCTGCACAAACGCACTGCCCCCCAAAAAGGTGATATCACTGTGCTATAAAGCTTTGATACACTCCCAGACTAAAATAAAAATCACGTATAAACATGCTTGGCACAAAGAATTGAACCGAACAATTAGTGAGGAACATTGGACAAGCGCGTACTCATCACACAGAGGCATCACATCATGCACTAATCACTTAGAACTCCAAAGAAAAATTCTATATCGCTGGTACCTGGTGCCAGATAGGATTCACAAAATATGGCCACAATCCTCCACAAATCAATGTTGGAGGTGCAAGCAACAGGTGGGGACGATGTTACACACATGGTGGACCTGTGATATCATACAACCATTCTGGCACAAGGTTGCGCATTTCATTCAGCAAATAACGAACGCCAACATAGAGCCCACGGTAGAGATGTGCCTCTTATATATACCACCAGAAAACTTAACTAGAGCTCAATGGGCAGCTACCTACCATATTTTAATATCAGCCGCAATGGTGATAGCTAGATTATGAAAATCACCTTCCGCACCGAACTTCAATACCCTCCTCAACCAAATCAACACTAACTGGCAATATGAATCAATGCTTGTACATCAAAGAGGCCTGAACAAATCAATGGCAAAAGCCAACTTGATTTGGAAAGAATATTGGGAGGCGAACGAAAGCTGTTCACACCTCACCAAACCCCGAAAAAATTCTCCCGATGCCCCAGCGATCACAAGTACACTCACATAAGGTACCACAATGGTTTGAAACCCCACCACGGCCCAAAGCAAATAGGGCTAGCCCATACTCTCATGTTCACAAGACACTGCAAATAACACTACTCATAAGTGTATAAAGTCAAATGGATTTGAGGAGAAGGGGTAGGGAGACAAACACCAAATCACTAGTTGCAGGAGGTAGGCTAGTCAAAACACAGGCATAACCCAGGAGAACAGAAGCTAACAACCAACAGGAAACAAGTCATGGGCCAATTAGGGTGCTACTGCTCAACAAGGTATAAAGGACCCTCTATGAATGATATAATACTGATGGCAACCCCTCTCCACTTTCCTCCCCCCCCCCACAACCATCCCACCACCCACAAGCAATACTAACATTACAATGGATATGTAACGTTATTGACAATGCTGTATAATGTGTTTTACCCCCTACTCCCTCTCTTTATTCTGTACCCCATTCTTTTGTGAAAATAAAAATTGTCAAATTGAAAAAAAAAAAATATTAATAACTTCAGGAGATAAACCTTTGTTTTTTAATATTTGGTATTTAGAAACCTGGCCGTCAGGTTGAATTTCTTTAGAGTTTGAAGAGGTACAATGGAGTGTTCCAGCATATCCACGGATAAAGGAAGTTTCCAATAGGTTGAATTGGGTACAATAAGAAGCATGGAGAACCAACTCCTTCTAGGCCACCAAGGAAGAATTATAATTAATTTTACTTCTTCTGTCCTGATATTCTGTACAATCCTTGGAATTAGAGGAAAAACATATGCTAGGTTGAAGTTCCATTGAATAGAAAGGGAGTCTATGACCTCAGGCCGGTCCAAGGAAGCAAATATTTTTGTTTTCCTGTTTGCTCTTGAAGCCATAAGGTCTATTTCTGGATAAACACATTTTTCTGCTACTTGACTGATGATCTGACCGGAAAGAGACCAATCCGCTTATGTTAAATGCTGATGACTTAGGGCATCTGCTAGGATGTTGAATTCTCCTTTTATATTAAACGCCGATATTGACAGAATGTGACACTTGCACCATATATCATGATCTGTGAGCATAGATTTTCAACCTGATCTGGACATGTTGATTCTGGAATGCAATAAGAGCCAGGCAAATAGCCTTCAGTTCCTTGTTAGGGCTGACAAAAGACCAAAATGGAGCACTCTGATTTGATAATGAAGTATCTGCTCTTGGAATTTGATGGCGAACCTTAAGATTCTCTTGCTTTTTTGGGGCATGTTAATGTGCACGTATGCATCCTTAAGTCTAAAGAAATAAGATAATTTCCTGGCTAAATAATGTGAGTGACAAAATTTATCATCTCCATATGTTCTTTTTTATAATGAATTTGTTGACGGTCTTGAGATCTAAAAAAAGGTCTGAAAGTACTGTCTGGTTTCATGACCAGAAAGATTCTTAAATATGTGCCCATGAACTTTTCTCCAAACAGGATGCTTTCTATGGCATTTTTTTAAACAAAGCTTTGACACCTCTCTCATCAATGCATTTTCTGCTGTAGCAGAGTGGACTGTTTAACATAAAAAGTTTCTTCTTAGGATACCTGATAGTTCTAATTGGTACCCATTTATTATTAGAGAAAGAACCCATCGGTCTGAGGTAGAAGAATCAACTAAAAAATCTGATGCCATCTTAATGTTTTACAGTAATTGTACTGGATCTTCTTTGGATCTTTTCTAAGACATCAAGCCAAAGCTTTGGTGCCTTTGCCACTGATGTACCTGCAACATTGAGATGCTGACGAGATACACAGCTTTTTCAAAGAAGAGTCGATACGTTTTTCCATAGCATCTTTTAAACCACTGCAATCTCCAATGGGTAATGTGTTGTTTTTTTTTACCCAATTGAGCTACAGGGACATCTACCGCTGGTATAAACTCTAATAAACACACAGGATCCTCTTTAATGGAAAAATAGTTTCAAAGTGCTTTGAAAAGAAAGTTTTTTTTCCCTGGAAATTTCCATTCCTTCAAAATTAAATCTTTTAACCCCTTGTGTGACATGTCATGATTCCCTTTTATTCCAAAAGTTTTGTCCTTAAGGGGTTAACTGTGGATGTAATGGAAACACTTTTGATTTTCCTATGATTTGTTCGTGATCACCCAAGTTTTCCAATACATTCTTCTGGAAAACAAAACCCTTCATCAGAACAATCACTAGAACACTCTTCTATGGATCCTGAAAGGGAAGAATCTGAGCTTGCATCAGAGAATTCCTAAGATTCTCCAATGCCTTTTCTTAGCAGGAGCTTTTCCTGCTGTATCATGGGAAACAGAGGCCTGTGCAGACTGCGTGTCAACAAATGTTTGTTGTAAATTTTGCTGGAACCAGCTTAGGAAAGCGGACATTTCTAATTTTTGTAATTCGTCTGAAACTTCTTTAGTACAATTAGAACAAATCTTTCTTTTGTAACCATCAGGCATGTGTTGGAAACATGAAGCACAGATTAAATGCATTTTCCTTTCACTGAAGATCTCTCAGCAGCCTCAGGATTATACATACTGAAGAGAAAAACAAGAGAGAGAAAAATAAAAGTTAACAATTTTGACAGTTTTTATTGTTAATTTTCGGATAATGAAACTGGGGTTACAGAAAGGAAAAAGGAGGGGGGGGGGGTAGACATTTGTATCACATCAATAGCATTCCAGTAAGACATTTCCCTGGTTCACAGTTGGATTAAGCATTGCGTGTTCCCAGTGAGTCTTGTCGTGCTCTCATGTGGTGCTTATCTTGGCTCTTGTTTCTTCCTGTTGTTGAGTTGCCTTAGGTAAGGGGGAAGGAGGGGGGGAAGGAGGTGGTGGTGGCTTAGGCCAGGGGGGGGATGTAGAACTATGTACATTGTGGGTTCTCTTTCCGCCGTTCCCTGGGGCCTGTTTAACGGATGGTTTGATTGTCCTCATTAACCTCATCCCTGTCTAAGTGTTAGAAGCGCCTGCCCCTGCGTTTCCGGTCTTTCCATTGACCTTGTCTTTAAGCTCTATCTTTCCCTCCCCTAACTTTTTTTTTTTGCTGGAAATTCCACCTTTCCCCAGGATTCCGACCCCTCATCCCCCTCCCCCCTCCCGATATATGTTTCCCAGTCTTTTGTGGCCTGTATAATGTGTTTCGGTGGGTGAAACCGCAGACAGGTCCCTGTCTCATATATCAGGTTTAGTGATATCTGTTGTACTATGTTGGGTCTGGTAGGTGCTTGTGTCTGTTTCCAGCCTCTGGCAATCAGGAGGTTTGCAGCTATTAATATATGGAATATAAGGCTAGCCTGTGGTTTTGTGTAGGATTCCAGTGATATAAACAGTAAGGCTTTCTCTGGACTTAGCAATGTGCAACGCCCCATTGATCATCTCCTCTAATCTTCTCCAGTATTCTTTGAGAGCTGAACACGTCCACCAAATGTGGATCATCGTGCCCTCTTCTTTTAAGCATCTCCAACAGAGCTTTGAAGTGCCTGGGTAGATGCTAGCCAATCTGGATGGCACCAGGTACCATCGATATTGTATCTTGCGCATGAGCTCTAGGTGGGAAGCGCATCTGGATCTGCCCTTATGTGCTATGAAAGCTTTGTTCCATTGCTCTTCTGAGAATATCGTACCTATTTCCCTATGCCATGCCTCTCTAAAGTTGTCTATCTGCGGTTGGTGGCTGGAGTCCTTGAGCATTGTATAAAGTGAGAGTGGTTTCTTGGGCATGGTCATGGTTGTGCACGCTCTTTCTACGCTTTTTGCGTTTGTCGGGGTTGATAGGGTGGTATTAAGTGTCAGTATGCCTTTTAGTTGTAAGTAGGAGAATATCAACTTCTGTGGCAAGTCATATTCTGTTTGCAGGTCTGGGAAATGTTTCAGTAGTCGTTGGCTATACAGATGTTTAACCAGTGTGCATCCTTTTTCGATCCATATGCGGTGGTCGAAATTGGGGTGTGCTATATGTATGCTATATAAGGGAGTGGCCATCGCCCAGTCAGTGGTATACCCTAGCTGTGGTTTGGCTTTGTCCCAGGCCTTTAGCAGGGTGTCAGTTGTGGTGGGTATCCCTGGGAGCAACGGGCATCTGCCGTGCGGTACCCAGAAGAGGTATTTAAGGCCCCTGGGGCATGCCCAGGTCGACTCCATCTCTACCCATTGTGGTGGGCTGTGTGTTGTGTGTGCCTGTATGGCTGTGGCCAACAGTGCTGCCCTATAATACGTTTGCAACTCTGGTAATCCCAACCCCCCCTGCGCCACCTGTTTAGTGACAATCCTCGTGGCTACTCAAATTTTTTTGTGCGTCCGAACGAAGCTAATGATGGTTTTTTGCAGCCGTCGTAAGTATGTGTTTGGTAGGGGGATCTGCAGTGTTCTGAGTAGGTACTGATATTTAGGTAGTAGCATCATCTCTACCGCCGCCAGTCTCCCCACCCAAGAGAGGTGTTTATCTTCCCATTTTTTTAGTGTGTTGCTGATTTCTCCCTGTAGTCTCCCAAAGTTGAGGTCCAAGAGACCCTGTGGCTCTTTTGGAATTCTCAATCCCAAGAACGTGAGGTAATCGTCTCTCCAGTCTAACGGGAATGAGAGTTTTAAGTGGTCTATGTCACATTGCGGTATCCCTATTCCCATAGCTTGGGTTTTCGTGACGTTGAGCTTGTAATATGATTGCTCGCTGTATTTTTCTATTCGGCAGTGATATGTGCGGTTGTGTAAGTGTTAGCAGTATGTCGTCGGCGAATAGATTCGCCTTGTATACCCTTTTTCCTATCTCCATTCCGTGTATCGCAGGGTTGTCCCGTATCCGAATTGCCAGTGGCTCTAGCGCCAGGACGTATAGCAGGGGGGACAGGGTACACCCCTGCTCTTGCGCCAGGATGTATAGCGGGGGGACAGGGGACACCCCTGGTTCGCGGGATTCACCCTAGAAACCCAGCATTGAGTACTCTTGCCGAGGGGTTACTGTAGAGGGCCTTCACCACCGACACAAACCCTGCGGGGATGTCAAACTTGCCTAATACTCCTTGTAGGAGCCCCCAGTGTAGGCGATCAAACGCTTTTTCGGCATCAAGGGAGACGAACAGTCCCCCCCTTCGCCAATTCTTCAGATGGTAGAGGATGTTGATGACCTTCCTCGTATTATCTGTACCCTGTCTCCCTTTGATGAAGCCCTGGTCATTATGGATGATATGCGGTAGTATGTTTCCCAGGCGGTTAGCGTATAGTTTGGCGAACAGTTTCGCATCTGTATTTAGGAGGGAGACGGGTCGAAAGTTCTGCGGTACTGTTGGGGGTTTGTTCGGTTTAGGGAGTGTGACAATATGCGCGGCCAACGTTTCCCTGGGGAGTTCAGCTTGGAGAGCTGCCTCTGTGAACAGTCTAACCAGGTAAGGCACTAATATGTCGCCAAACCTTTTGTAATATTGGCTGTCAAACCCATCAGGTCCCGGGGATTTTCCCGACGGAAGGTTTTTAATCAGGTCTCTGATCTCCTGTTCCTCTATCGGTTTAGTGAGAGCCTCTTTTTGTTGTGTTGTGATCTTAGGTAGTGTAACCTCATCTAGGTATTTCCGAATGTTAAGGTTTGTTGGGTGTGTCGTTTGCGTATCTTCTCGTATATTATACAGGGAGGAGTAGTATGTGGCAAACACATCACTGATTCCCTTAGGGGTGAAGATTTTGGACCCCTTCTGGTCTGTGAGGTAGGGTATTTTCTGATTTGCCTGCCTGGTTTTCAGTCGTTTTGCTAGTAGCATGCTTGCCCTATTGCCCTGCATATAATGGGTCAGTTTGAGCCTTTGCATGTTTGAGTTAAGTGCGTCCAGTGCTTGTTGATGTATAAGCTTAGTGAGCTGGGCTATTCTGGTTTTTGTCTCTATAGTCGGTGTGGTTTGGTTTAGTCTATTCATCTCGTACAGTTCTGCCTGCCATGCTCTAAGCTGCGTTTGACGTTTCTTTTTTTACGTATGTTGCTCTGTGTATTAGTAGGCCTCTCGCTACTGATTTGTGTGTAAGCCACAGAGTAGCATCTGTGGTTTCTTTAGTGTCATTTAGCTGGAAGTATGTGTGGAGGTCCCCTGCCAGTGAGTCTGCAAATCTCTCGTCCCTCAGCAGAGAGTTATTTATTTTCCAGGGGCTACGGTGTTTAAAGTCGTAATTGTTCTTTAATTCTATGGTTACTGGTACGTGGTCAGACCATGTAATGTGCTGTATGGCACTAGTCACGATTTGGTCTAGTGCCGAGCCTGATATACGGAAACCATCTATTTTAGAGTAGGAGTTATGCACCACTGAGTAGTGTGTGTATACTCTCTGTGTCGGGTGTGTAACCCTCCAAGCATCGTACAGGTGATAGTCGTGCAGGAGTTTCGCTATAGCTCTACATTGCCTAGTTAGAGGGCGATGGTTTTTTCTATGTGGTGGTAACGTCGTGTCTAGCAGCGGGTCTATTATCTGATTGACGTCACCCCCATCACCGTGATGCCTGTTTGGGCATTATTTGCTTTGGTTAAGATTTTGTGTAGGAAGTTCCTCTGATTGGTATTTGGGGAGTATATATTTACGATGGTGTATAGCATGTCGTTAAACTTCCCTATGAGGATGATGTATCTGCCATTTGGATCTATATCCGTGAAGCGTAAACGAGACCGTTTTACTAATTAGGATGGACACCCCTCTAACTTTTGCAGGAGATGTGGCATTGAATTGGTGTGGGTAGTCAGTGGTCAATATTGCGGGGTGGTCATTGTGTCTAAAGTGCGTTTTTTGGAGGCATAGGATATCTGCTCCCAGGTTTCTAACCTCTAACCTCTCTGGCAAGTAGTCTTTTCACCGGGGCGTTTAGGCCCCTGACATTAAAAGAGCACACTATCACGGTGGTTCGTGGGGTTGGTACTCTTTACCTCGTATGTGGTATTCTATGGTTTGAGGGGTCACCGCTCTTCCCAGCTTGGTCGCAGTGTTACCCTCTGTGTGTTGGTTAGGTCCCTTTTCGTGCCTGCGGGTTTGTCAGTGTGACCGACCTTGCGGCTTCCAGGACTTGTCAATATTTGTATGGTGATTGTTGTTGGTTACCCACTAACCCTAACACACGATCGATGGTAAGGTATAAAACATGTGGAACGTGAACATATAGTAAAGCGATAAACGATAATACAGTAACATAAACCAAAGTATTTACATAAACATTCCAGAATAGTTGTGTTGCCGTGAATTCGGCTTGGCACTGCATTGTCGTGCTTTGGGGAAGAGGCGCATGGCCTCCTGTCCTATGGGAGTTTTCTCCCTCTGCGGCTATATCTGATGTTAACGTTGGGAAGTCCCAACTATGTGCTAAAGCCTTGTGAGTATGCTGGCTTTATGTATATATGCACATAAATTTTAATTTATTTTTTTTTGTGTTCGTGCATTCTTTCCCTGTCTCTGTTCTGGTTTTCAGTGTAATAAGGATATGTGGGTGGCTCTTTTTTTTTTTTTTCGGGCGGGTATGTTAGGCTGGTGTGCCTCTCCTCAGTGAGCTGGGAGGGAAGTAAAGGGGCCGATTCCTGTGCAATTCTCTTGTCCCTTATGCTCTCTAATGTACTCCCTCTCCCATCCCGTGCTCTATCTGGAGCACTTGTGTTATATCGTGAGTGCGGTGTGTTTTCATACTTTACCCAGCCCCGCAGCTGATATGGCCATGAGTTTGGATGCCATAGAACGCCCACATTGACAGTCTCTGTCCCTTATCGCTTTTTCGAGTCCTGTGTCATTTTGGATCTGCCCCCCTCTTGGTCCGTCGGTGGCGTGGCTGCTATGTTCCAATCTCTCAGGACTCGCTGGCCTTCCTCCAGTGAACCGATGATGGTTGTAGCGGAGTAGCAGGGGTTAATCCAAGGATACTCCGCTGGTAATCAAGGTTCAGCATACAAAAAGTATAAAACACAGCACAATCCCTTTCCCCAATGACTAGATGACACATAGTCTGGGAGTCAACTGGCTTTTAATGCATAAGCTCTGCTTTTATGTGTTTTTCCCATGCAAGGGAGGCAACTCTCATAATTATTACAGTATCCAATCACATAGTCGGTACCTCCCCCACATCTCCTCCCCTCAGCTTAACAGTTAACCTCATTAAAATGTACACATTTTTCCCCAATTCTTGGATGTACCCCAAATATAGGGGGTACACCTTTAAACGATCTGGGTGAGAAACATATTCAAAAATCACCCAGATCAGACCAGGGGTTCGGGAGTTATTGAGGAGCCAAGATTTGACCGACCGCACGGGCACAGTAGCCGAAAATAGTTCCATGAGTTCTGGCCCTGCGGTCTGTCTCTGTTCACACTTAAAAAGTCCTGAAAGTCTATGCCATCCAGTATTACATTTGCATTCGGATGAATCCCCTGGTTCACGGGATTCATCCTACCGAATGGCGGGCTGTTCGTGGGTTTCATTCGACACTTTCTGGAGCCTTGGAGGTCTTAGCGGTGCTTGGTTAGTCGAGTGTCCGATTTGAGTTCCAGACACTCGACGACCAAACACCGCTATTTGTGCGTAAGATGGCCGCCGCCACGTGTTCGGCATGCGAATGGCGGCCACACACGAATCCCACTTAAGAGCATCTGCAACATTGTTGCCTTTAGGTAATGAGGGGCACACGATCACATCATTTGGTATTTTACATCGTTTTCTTGAACAGGGCAGTGAATATAGTTCGGGAACCGATTGACTGGAGATAACCCTCCGAATAGTTCATTCGTATCTCGAAAGTCTTTTCCCAGTTCTTTAGTGGCTAGGCTTGCCACAATGGTGGTCTTCCCTTCTCTCATCACTAGGAGCTTGGTGGGGTACCCCCATCTGTATGGGAGATGATTATCTCTGAGTCGCGTGGTCACCTCTCGGAAGTCCAGTCTTCTTTTTAGTGTGTATGAGGAGATGTCTGCATATATAGTCGTTCCTCTGTAGGCCGGGGGCATCTCTTTCCGTTTTCTGCTGGCGTTTAAGATTGCTTCTTTGGCATGATAGTAATGCATCCTGAGCAAGATGTCTCTTGGTGTGGTTGGTGGTAAAAATTTTGATTTAGCCGTTCTGTGGATTCTATCCAGTAGGAGCAGATCGTGTGGTTAGTCAGGGGTCAATTCCCTCAGCAGACCCATGATGTGGGTGGAGAGATCCTCCGTTTTCACCGTCTCCGCTACTCCCCTTATCCACAGGTTGTTGCGGCGTGCCCGGTCCTCCATGTCAGCTATTTTGAGGTCTTGGCTATTTAATCTCTCACCTAGACCTTCTACTGTGTCTGTCAGTGAGTTGTGGGCCTCCACCATTTCTGCGATTTGGTCCTCAGCGTGCGATGTGCGCTGGCCTATATCTTGTATTTCTTTTTGCAGGTCCCTGATGGCTGTGTCCAGCTTACCCACTATCTTGTCTGACATCTCCTCAAGCAGTTTTTTCAAAGAGTTGTGGGTCAGTGGGTTTTCCTGTTCGCCGTTCTGGGCCTCCATTTCGGGTTCCCCGCCGGCGCTCAGCCTGGCTTGAGGTCTTACCCTGCGCTGTCCTCGCTGCGAAATAAAAATATTTTTCTCACCCTTCTCTCCTGCCCTTTTGCTTTTGGGTTGAGACATTGTGGTTTCTGACGATGTTTTGTGGCGTGTTATCGATTAATAGGCTTTTTATTTCTCCTTTCTAGCCGTCGCGACACGGAGCTCTGTCTACATGCGGCTGCTCCGGTCCGCGTCCAGGACACGCTCCCCAAAATAAAAAATTTTAATCTTTAACTGGAGGAAAAAAAAATCGGCCTGGAAGCATTTAAGATAAAAGCAAAAAGTCTTACCTTAATGGCCCCAAAATGTGCTGGAGAGCAGGTGATAACACACTTGCAACAGATTCTGAGTGCACCTGGAAAACAGTTAATTGCTGCTGTGTTATATAGCCTCTAAGGTCCTGGAAAAGCAAATCCGTAAAAAAATAAAATAAATAAAAAATTGAATTTGGCACCTTAAATTTGAAATTGCATTGCGCGTGCGGTGAAACGAATCGGAACCTGTACGTGCATTCCACCACCAGGTCCTCCCAGCCTCTTCGATTTTCCTGGTGCGGTATGGGTGGGAGTTATAAGTATTGAGGAATGCAGACACCCGGCGTGTGTTCCGACAGTCAGGAACCTGAAGCGAGCTTACCAGCCGGCCATCCTGACTTCCAGGCATGAAGCAGAGACTCCTGAGTAGAGATGTCGCGAACCGTCCGCGAACTTCTCGCGAACGGTTCGCCACGGTTCGCGGCGAACTCCGGTCAGCTGACACATCCCTGCCAATCTCCGGCAGACCCTCCCTCCCAGACCCTGAAGCTGCCTTCAACATGGATGCTGTCCAGGAAGTAGGAGGGTCTGGGAGGGAGGGTCTGCTGGAGATTGGCCGAGATGTGTCAGCTGACCGGAGTTCGCCACGAACCGTTCGCGAGATCTCTACTCCTGAGCTGCAGCTCCCTCACCTTGCTTCTGGAACTACAAAGGATAAGCCTGACTACCTCACCTGCAGTATGCCATATGTGTGTGTGATGTGTGCTTCCTGTATGTACTGAGTGGGTGTGTGCTAGCTGTATGTAACATGTGTGTGGTGTGAGCTGGTTGAGTGTGTGAAATATCCATGTGCTAGCTGTACGGAACATATATTTATAAAGTAATATGTGGGTTTTCTGTATATATAAGCGATGCTTATAATATATACACACGTAAATATTAATATACATATCTATGTATATAAGCAAAATACTAAAAAATAATAAAGTATAATTTGTTTAATCAAACTTTGTCCTCACTAACATATACACTTTTTTGACACATATTCACAAGCCGCATACTGTCATTTAGACAACCATAAAATGACCAACACATGGTCAGTCTGACGCCACATCCCTGATATAGTACTTAACATCGTTTGTTTCCAAAAAGGGAACAATAATTCACAAACATACATCCTACTGAACACATTCATTCCCTTTTTAAAATTAAATTTAAAAATATTATTTTAACAAGGCTTTGATATTTCAAATCCTTTACTATGTATGAGATTCAGAAACAGAAAGCACTGATTTAAATCAGACACCAAATGGCACAGGTTTGGTCGGATTGGCTGAATTCCAGAAGGAATTGAATTTACAAGTTTATTCTACTAAAGTGAGAATTCCAAATCGATTTCAAATTTCAGGTCAAAATTGATGAAACGTAAACATTCAGCAATGCTTTCAGACTGGCTCTTAAATTTTAATTAATTTGTAATTGTCATTTAGTAAATATTTAATGAGTGCAGACGTGGTGGGTGTAAGCGCCCTGTGAAAGCTTTTTATTATTGGTTACCTGCTCTCACATTGTATATACAGTATGTCATCTTTACTAACCATAACTACTACGACTCTGTCAGATTTAACGGTAATACTATATCAAACCATGAGCTGCACGCTTAGTGAGGCAGTGCTATATGAATCTATAATACGATCCTGAGGTGGCTGAGCACGGGCTAGTTCAGCCATACTGCGCCATCGCTCAGCTGCAGGATTTTCGCGCCACAATTCTACCTCAGGAGAGACCACAAAGGCACGCAGCGCCGCGCGCCCTTTCCTCCTACGTCACCACGTTTTACTCCCCTGAAGCCCCTCCTTTTCCAGCCGACGCCGTCGCTTCCTATTGGTCAGGCTCAGAGTCCGAGTGCCCGGATGTAGTCAGCACTATATATGAGGCGGTTGAGAGCGCGGGAGAGCTTCTACGTTTGAACTGTACGTCGCTGAAAGAAACCGATCGCAATCATGGTAAGCTGGGGCGGGCGGTTAGGATACCTCTACACTCTGGGCGGATTCTGTGTCTGTGTGGTGACTGCCTACTCTGAGTGTGGGAAGCGAGAGATCGGTTCCATCGTGGCATTCTCTAAACCAGGGTTAGGCAACCGGGGGCACTCTCCATGTTAGGACTACATCTCCCGAGAAGCATTGCCGGCGCTATGGCTGTAAGAGCATTCTGGGTGATGTAGTCTACACCATCTGCAGTGCCCATGGTTGCCGAGCTGTGTGTGTAACCAGCGGAGTGGGCCATGCGGTAGGTGCTGCTATATATTGATCCCGCCCGCAGCCTTCCTCTGTGGACTGCGCTCCCTGTGACTCCCAGCCAGCCCTGGGGTGCAGCTGGTGTCTGGCTGGTGGTGGGAGCTCTGTACTGGGAGAGCTGGTCACAGCAGGTCTGCTCTCTGCTGGGCCATCTGCTGTGACTTTCCAGCCATGCTTTGTGTGTCCCTGCCTTTGTTTGCACCTTCTGTCCCAGCTCATTGTCCTCCCCATCACTGACTGGAGGGAGGTTAGTTCAGCTCTCCTACCTGTGGGCTCCTGTATTGGGGGTGTCTGCTGAATCAGTTTATCCTAGAAACTGGTTATATGGGCCTGACCTCTATCTTGTTACTACATTAGTGTGTTGTCCAGGTAAAAACAGACTGACCGGTGTGATGCAGGTTCCTTCTTCGTGTGGATTGATGAGTCAAATTGGTAATTGGGTTATGTAATCTATCGAGTACCATGCTTAATTTGGTTTTCACGTGAAGACCAAATCCACTTTTTTTTTTTTTTTGGACAAAAGGGCATTTAATTTGATGTAAATATATACTCATTTGCTATAAAAAAACACACAATGCATCAAAAACTAACAACTTTTTTACGTCAATTTTGCCAATACTGCAACTTATGAAAAGTTATTATAACTAAATAATCTGTCTGGATATTCAGAGAATATGTTTAGGTTTATAGTAAATTCTGGTTATTATATACAAGGAATACAACTTCAATGTGGTGTGCTTTAAGATTTTGATAGGTTTGTCTTGTAAGTTTAATAGCGTCACAGAAAACAAAATTACCACACAAATGTATACATTTATAGAACATAAACATCACAGGCTATTTATCTGAAGGCCTTAACACTTACTATGTAGCTAACTGCCAATCTCTGGTAAATATTGTGTGCTTTTTTTTTTTAAACTTTCAAACACTTTAAAAAAAAAAAAAAAATTTGTAAACCTGATGTGTGCTACCACTGTGAAAAATATAGTGTGCAGCATATGCTGTTGCCACTATCCTGTGAGAGACCTCCACTTCAGAATTTTTATAGGTGGTAAGGTCTCTTTCTGGGCATTATAGTTGTTTGTTGAAATTGCCACACAGACATAACATTTTGTGAAAGTAGACATTATGTATATAATATGGTGTATAGTGTTCCTTGGCATGCTGCCACATTTTCACCAGTAATTCAGCTTGTGTGATATATAGATATATTATATTTATTTTTTTCATTTTTATACTATGGCACTAAATTGCAAAGTCAGTGTCCTGTAAAAGACCTGATTATTTCAGTTTTTGCTGTGAGAATTTCATCTGTGAATTCGGTGGGCCTATTCCACATTCTGGGCCGTTGTAGACGTTTCACAGTTCAGATCACCTCAAATGCATACCATTTGTAAAAGTGGACATAATCTGAACTAATCTCGAATCTAGCTCTATATCAAATAGTCACCTTTATCTTAACCTATACCCTTATTCTATGCCTAATTCTAATTGGCCTTGTTGACCCAAATCTGAACTCTAGCATTCTGTTTATATTTAAAATTGGCTTAGAGTTAATTTTAAAGGATTCCCTCTGCTGTTTTCAGTATGATAGCTTTATCTGTACTGCCTCCATTGGTAAACTCATCAGCTCCTCTGGCTTTCATTATAATCAGTATGCGTATGACATGCAAATCTACTTGTCCTCTCCTGATCTCTCTCCGCCCATCTTGACCAGTGTCTGACTGTTTCTCTGCGATTTCCAACTGGATGGCTGCTCACTTCCTTAAACTCAACCTGTCTAAAACAGAACTTCTGGTCTTTCATCACTCAAGTGCTGCTACTCCCATGTCTGTCTCCATCCAAGTCAACTGTGCTACTATCACCTCTACCTTACTGCCTAGGTGTTCTTTGACTCCAACCTCTCCTTCATCCCTCATGTCCAGTCTATATGGTCAAATCCTGCCACTTCTATCTCAAATCTATAGCGTGCGTTCGCCTCTATTTAACGCTGGAAGCTGCTATGGTGCTGGTCAGTGCTGTTCTTTCTCGCCTTGACTACTGCAATCCCCTTCTCAGTGGTCTTTCATGTTCCCAGCGTGCACCATTGCAATCTATAATGAATGCGGCAGCAAGACTCATTTTCCTGTCCGCTCGCGCCTCCCAGTTCTGTTAGTCCCTACATTGGCTGCAAGTAAGATATAGGGCTTAACTAAGATTCTGGTTTTTGCTTTAAAGTCCCTAGATAATGCTGCTCCAACCTACCTATCCTCCCTAATACAAAAGTACGTTGTGTCTAGGCCTCTGCGCTCTTCTGAAGACATAAGTCTATCCTCTGTGTGTATTCTCACTTCTGATGCTCGCTTCAAAGATTTCTCCAGGGCTGTACCTTTTCTGTGGAACTCCCTTCCCTTCTCCAATAGACTTTCACCCAGTCTCCACTCCTTAAAAAAAATTATTCACAAACTGTTGGCAGGTTTTCATCTCCTGTCCCCAATGACTCCTCTCCTGAAACTGACATATTTACATACTAAGCCCTCAGTGTATACTTTTCTAAAAACCTACTTCACACCCCTACTTTTACCCTTTGTCCATTTACCCCACTCCTTCTAGCATGTAAGCTCATTGAGTAGGGCAGTCAACCCCTCTGTTCCTGTACGTTCACTTGTCTGGTTACAATTATGTGTCCGTTCGTCCACCCACTGTACAGTGCTACAGAATTCGATGGCACTATATAAATTATATATTTGAATATTGTATGCCCAGTGATTTGCAATCAGTGCTGGGCAACTAACAAACCCCAGCACTGATCACTTTGCAGACCCTGGGGGTTTCTGTATCGCCTTATCCAGGGAGAAAATAACTGGCTGTGCTTGATTGCCTTCAACACTTCATACTGCTCATCAAAAAGTTCGGGGCTACTACAAATGGCCATAGCTGTGGGGGAGATTGGGGGGGGGAGGAGGACATTACTTTTCTAATGGTATGGGTACCTAAACCTATAATTACCATATTCTACTGCTGTTGCAAATCCACATTGTAGCCAGTTTGTCTGCAGTTAAAGTGATGTTTTACATGCAACTACCTAACTTTTCTTTTCTGCAGGCTGGTGGAAAAGCTGGAAAGGACACAGGCAAATCAAAGGCTACATCGGTTACCCGCTCAGCCAGAGCAGGACTGCAGGTCAGTGATAATTTAATTTCTATGAATTGACATTGGTTTACTTCACAAGATCTCATTTTATTGTTGAAAACTTGAGTTTTTTTTTTAATAAGCTCAAACATGCAAATAATTAAGAGGGTGGTAAGAATACTGTACTTGGTTGATAGTTCAGTATATTGTGCGATATCTTAACTGTCACACTTGACATGAAGAAGAAAAATATTTGTGTGGGTGAAACAGTTGCAGCTCCAAACTACTAAATGCTACATAGTACTTTCCTGGTTCAATTTGGAAAACAAAATATTGTAATTACATCCCTGTTATACTGGTAGTTCCAGTTTTTTTGTTTTGTGTGTAATGTAGAACTCAAACTGCAGGTACACATACAGCTAAGAAAAAGCAACATTTTTAAACTGTATACTTTTTTTAGTTTCCAGTTGGTCGTATCCATCGACTTCTGAAGAATAGGACCACAAGTCATGGCCGTGTGGGTGGTACTGCTGCAGTATACACTGCTGCTATCCTGGAGTATCTTACTGCTGAGGTAGGAATGGTTTATAGTTCTGGAAAAACATGAGTTTTGTGCTTTAAAAAAAAAAAAAAAAAAAAAATTAAAAAATTAAAGGCTTCTGAAAATCACCCATCTTGTGTGGGGAAAAAAAAATTAATATATTCACATCTTATGGATATCTTGTGTCAAACCCACCATTGTTTCCAAACATCCACTCTGGCTGCATGCTTTAGAATGTGTTGTCTACTGCTGTCTTGTAAACTTAGATAATTACAGCAGCACAAATATAAAATGCTGGTAACATTTGTGATACTAAAGGACAAGTGGGTGTCTAAAAATGAAAGATTTTGATTTAAAAAAATAACAAAACACCTTACACCTTCTCAATAGAAATACATTATGTGACTGATAATTTAAGTTACTTTAACCTCTTAAGGACACATGCCGTGTGACATGTCATGATTCCCTTTTATTCCAGAAGTTTGGTCCTTAAGGGGTTAAAGATCCGATTTTAGGAGCAAAAGTGGATTGGGCTTTATTAAGCATGCCAAGAAATGGTTTATTTTTTAACCCCTTGACGGTTGAGGACAGTCATCGGAAACATCCCCTGTCTGGAGGTACTTACCTGATCGCCATCGGTCCTGCGGTGATCTGCGCTCCTCCCGGTCCAGGGGAACTGTCTGTCTGCCCAGGCAGTCTCCCCACAGCAGATCACATGAACGCAATAGGTGTGTATCTGCCTGCAGGGGGACTGTCCGTGCTGACAGGCAGTCTCCCTGCAAGTGTAAAATAAAATCAATCAGTGTGTGTGTGTCATATTCAGTGTGTTTTTAGATTTATATATACATATATAAATATACACTTATATTTAAATTACGCACGTGTGTGTGTGTGTATATATACAATATACATAAGCTATATAGTGTATATATAAATTATAAATGAAGAAATGTAAATTTTTTATATTTTTTTATTCTAACAGTATTTTTATGTATAGAGAGAATTTTATTATAACAGTATTTTGATATTTATATCAAAATACACTTAGAATGAAATGATATATCTATGTATAAATAAAACAAAATATACATTTGTCCATATACATAATTACATTAATTTCATAAATATACACGTAGACTTCAAATATATAAATATGTATATTTAAATTCTACGTGCATTTTTATGTAATATTACATTAATTTTATTGATTGCAATTTGAGGGACATGCCTGACAACGCAGGCCGAAAGTCCAGAGAATATAATTTGCTAGCACTGTGTTTAACCCTGTAACTTTCTATGACAAACTGCTATGTTTATGAAAAAATGGGTTAACCCTAGCTTGACCAGGCACCCAGACCACTTCATTAAGCTGAAGTGGTCTGGGTGCCTAGAGTGGTCCTTTAAACAATAAAAATAAAAAAATCTCTTCTATAGGACTGAAGAATATATTAATTTAATATCAATATACATTCTTCATTGAGTTCTATGTAACCAAATTAGATTTAACAGATTTAAAAAAATATATATATTTATTTATTTTTTTTTAAAACCATTGTCCAAATAAAGTATAGTCCTAGAAAACTATTGGATGCAAAAGATAAATTACATTTGGTAAGATTTACCAATGCTCTGTCTGATTACATTTCAAACTCTATTAAAGTCTATAAAGTTGGAAATATAATCAGAGCATTGGTAAAGCAGCATTCTATAGCTAGGTGCAGGGTCCACATACCATGCAGTAGACAAGCTGTGAGCTGTGTATACACTGTATTTATTAGTATAAATGACACACATACAGGGAGTCCCTGGCACAGTGTATAACTGAGCTCCACTGGCCAAATCACTCACCAGAGCTCTGTGAACAGGAAATCTCGGACGGGCTTGGTATCTAGGAAGTGACAGGACTCCAACAGGGTTCATGCCATGTTCCAGGGGCCGCACTGCCTGCCTCCCAGTACCGGTTCCTGCGCTCTCCGGCTGCGGAGGAACTGTCATCACTGGGAGCAATCAAGCTGCAGCATCCATCGGCGCATGTGCATCTCTCCCCTCCCTCCATGCCATGTACTGAACACATGGCTTCCACTGTTACCATGGTAACTGTCAGGCTGGTCACATGCTAGTAGATTGCAGAAGACTCCCGGAAGTCTGGGAGAGTTGGGATATCTGCGGGGGGAAGAGGGTTGTAAATTAAGGCAGATTTTACCCATATTCAACCAAAATGGGATAGGCCTGTTTTTGGCCAAATACATTTTGGCAGCTGAAATGTCTGTGCATTCCTATTAGAGTATATCTCTAATGGCAGTTTAGCATCTTATTCATGGGTACTTAATAGCCAAGCAAAAATTAAGGCAATTTTGGGTTTGGCTAAACAGACTATGAACACTTATTTGTAACGTTAAGCCACCTACATGTTGAGTGATGAGTGGCTGTAACTACTCTACTTTTATTTCAGGTCCTTGAGTTGGCAGGAAATGCTTCAAAAGATCTGAAAGTAAAACGTATCTCCCCACGTCATTTACAACTTGCCATCAGAGGAGATGAAGAACTGGATGCTCTTATAAAGGCTACAATTGCTGGAGGCGGTAAGCTCATTAATTTATTTTTTCGCTCTCCTGTAACTTACTTTTTAAAACATGTTCTTAAAAGGTTACTCCAAGAACCATGACCACATCATTGTGCCTGGATTCTGTATGTTCAGTGTTTTCTGCTTTGAAACACTACACATAAAGAGATGTGCAGAGAGTCTCATCTTCATTTGCCAGTCCAGAAGAAAGTTCCACGCTGGCTGGGGGGGAATAAATTACTGGTTTTTGCTTGGAGTAGCATGTTTGTTGTAGCTGTCAGATGTTTCCTGAATTGTATATAACACAAACATCTCTTGTAGGTGTCATTCCACATATTCACAAGTCCCTCATCGGAAAGAAAGGTCAACAGAAAACCGTTTAGTTGTGGTCATTATGAGGACACTACACACTCAAGCTTGGTTATGGACTTTTTGAAACCAGTTCCTGGACGCTAGTTGGTCCTCCTGGATACAGCTGTGGTGGTGCCACAAAGCATCAGGATTGGAATCTTTATCCATTTTTAAGCTACATTTGCTTCGAAGACGTAAATTCAGAAAATGGCTCAGATGGGCTATTATGTGGTTTTAAAAGTTTTGGTTTTTTAAATATTTTGGGGACTTGTTTTCTATGGACTTTAGTGTAATTTGATTCTCTTGTTGTTGCTCAATAAATGAGTACTCCACATGTCTTGTGAATTTGTATAATTGATCTAATTTACTTTATACAAATATGCTTGACATAGTTATTGGTTATGCTGCTTGTATCATTAAAATGTTATTTAGTCAGTGATCTTTCTCCTTCAGGATTACGGGTTTATCATCAAATATAAACGTAACACTTGTATGACCACTTTTAGGCTATGGGGAAAATATCAAATGATGGTTGCTGCCCTAAGTTTATTTACCAAACTTAGTCAGTTAACTTGGAAAACCACTCCTACTCTACATACAGTTTTGCAGGTCTTTTGGACTATACCTATAATGATCCTTTGCCAGCATTATGGAGGATGTAGTCCACATCTGGAGTGCCAAAGGTTGCCTACCCCTGCACTAGGGCAATGAGGGAGGTTATAACTGCCACTTATCAAATTGTTTGTGAGTAATAGTACTAGTCTCCAACATACTTTATAGATGGTGTCTAACTTTGATATGCTTCAATAAAATGTCATGTTAATGTAGGATTTCTGAATTCTGACTGTTCTACCATTAATCTGACAACTCCTCATAGCTCGTGCCCATATGTCTTTCAAAACATTGACAGATTGTAATAAGATTAGATTAATGGTTACAGTAGCAATATATTAAAAAATAAATATGCAAGCCTGTAGCAGAAAATTTGATTGTTGATTAGCCTTACTCGATCAATAGTGATGCATTGTACCATGTAGTAGCAGCCTGTTATTGACATGGAATGAAAGACTTCTTGAGTAATACTAGCATGCTTGCATCTATAGGTAACGGGACACTCCAGGCACCCAGACCACTTCTGCCCATTGGAGTGGTCTGGGTGCCAACTCCCACTACCCTTAACCCTGCAAGTGTAATTATTGCAGTTTTCATAAACTGCAATATTTACCTTGCAGGGTTAACTTCTCCTCTAGGGGGCACTTCCATGTTTATAGCACCTGTGCAATAGCTTCGCTGGACGTCCTCACGCTATGTGAGGACTTCCAGCGTCCCTTAAATCCCCATAGGAAAGCATTGAAAGTATTTTTCAATGCTTTCCTATGGGGAGGTCTAATGCGCGGCACTGCCACGCATGCGCATTAGGTCTCCCCTGTAGGATGTCGGCGGGGGTGGAGCGTGGGCGGACCCTAAACCAGTGCCGAGGGACATCAGTGCTGGATACAGGTAAGTCACTGAAGGGGTTTTAACCCTCTCAGCAACCTCGGGTGGCAGAAGGGACCTGCAGTGCCAGGAAAGTACCCTTTAAGTGTACTTAGTTTGCATTGTGCATTCAGTAATAGAAACTGTATATGTATCATAATAACTTACATATGGGTTTATTACAGCCCCTGGTGGGGCATTGATTGTTCCCAGATCTTGGGTCCATTCTGTGCTTCAATGATGTTATAAGCAACAATGACATGACAACTGGCAAGTATGGGACAGGTTTTTATCAGCACACTTGTGGATGTGTTACTGACTAATTGTATCACTAGCATTACTTAATAGTACTGATTAAACCGAACTATAGGTCAAATTTTAGAAACATCTTACCAGACACGTTTTCACATGTTGCTGGAGGGTTTCATAGTGCATATGCTAGCACTGAACTTTTTTTTGTGTATTTCTGGCCCCAGTGATTGCATCAGTTGTCAGCACCATCCCAGCAGAGAAATTCTTGAAAATTCTTAAGCTCAGGATAGTCATTTTGAATAGGCTGGTATGCTTTGTAAAGGTACATTTGTGCCTGCTTCTGCATCCTTGGCTAAAATCTGGAGGAAAACATGATTGCAGTGAGCTATGCAATTAAATTCATGCAGGCTCTTGATTCGGTCAAACTTTCATGCAATGGTTTCAGGAAAGATTTGTTGGCTTATGTACAAAGCACATTCATGTACTGCAAGACATATACATATTGTAAACCTGTATTAAGTACATAATGTAAACAATATCTTCCAGTACAATTTCACACAAATGTATTTACAGCTCAAAGGAGGGGAATATGAAGCAACAAAAAACAGTATATCTTAAAAAAAGTGTTTCGACCCATCCTCCCTTCTACCTATTGTCCTATATTTCTGCTCCCCTTTTCCTGAAAGCTTCTTGAAAGACTAGTCTTCACCTGTCTGGCCTGCTTCCTCAACTCCTACTCTCTCCTTGACCCTCTTCAGTCTGGTTTCTGTCCCCTCACCTCTACTGAGACTGCCCTTATCAAAGTCATTAATGACCTTATCACAGCTAAATCCAAAGGTCACTACTCCATACTAATTCTCCTTGACCTCTCTGCTGCTTTTGACACTGTTGATCATGTTCTCCTTTTCTAAACTCTTCACTCGGTCTCTGTGACTGTCCTCTCATGGTTTCTTCTGATCTCTCCCAGCGCTCATTCAGAGTCTCCTTTTCTAATGATACCTTCACCGTTCATCCTGTCTCAGTTGGAGTCCCTCAAGGCTCTGTCCTTGGTCCACTTCTATTTACACTGCCTCTATTGGTGAACTTATTTCCTCTTTTGGATTCAAATACCAACTGTACGCTGATGACACCCAGATATATTCTTCCTTACCAGACCTCTCCCCTGATGTCCTGCAATGTGTCACCTCTTGCCTTTCTTCTATCTGATTGGATGTCCTCCCGCTTTCTGAAACTGAATCTTTCCAAAACAGATCTTCTTGTCTTTCCTCCTCCTAATATTAATCCTCGCTCTCCCTTCAGATGGTGGTACCCATATCAGCCCATCCTTACAAGCACGTTGTCTTGGTGTTACTTTTGATTCTGGCCTCAAATCATGCCAATTCCACCTCAAAAACATCGCCCGCATCTGCCCCTTTTTACACAAGATGCTACTAAAGAGCTTGTTCATGCTCTAGTAATATCTCGCATGGACTATTGTTACTCCCTCCTAATTGGTCTTCTCAATAGCCATATTGCTCCGGTACAGTCTGTAATGAATGCTGCCGCCAGACTGATTTTCCTCTCTAGTCGGTCGTCTCACACCTCTGTCAGTCCTTACATTGGCTTCCTGTATCCTATAGGTGTCAATTCAAAGTACTAACCCATACCTATAAAGCACTGAATAAGTTTAGCTCCTCTTATATCTCACAGATCCATAGGTATGCCCCTTCTGTCTCTCTGCTCTGCCCGTGACTTTCTTCTGTCCGCTGCTCATGCTTGCAGGACTTTTTGCGGGCGGCTCCCGTCCTATTTTAATAGCCTGCCTACCACCATCAGACTCTCCCCTAGTCTTCAATCATTTAAGAAGTGCCCTAAAACTAATTTCTTTAGGAAAGCTTATGGCCTCCCAGACTAACCTCTACCTCACATACCTGCTCTCTCCTAAAGGGCAGCACTCTATTCTCTCCTACAGCTCTGCTCCAGTCCCACCTAATTTGAATTCCCTGTCCTAATGTGTTTTATACCCCACTTCCTATAGATGGTAAGCTCGTTTGAGCAGGGCCCTCTTCAACCCTTTGTTTCTTTAAGTTTTCTTGTAATTGTCCTATTTATAGTCAAATCCCCCCTCTAATAATATTGTAAAGCGTTACGGAATCTGTTGGTGCTATATAAATCATCGTAATAATGTGCACTGGCCAAGCAATCCTTCAAAAAGCAAAACCGAGCCCTCCAGGAGCCGCAGCACCCTATGTCTATCCCAAAAACCGCCAATTATACCATGGGTAGGCAGAGCTCTGCTATCTGATCTTTCTCGCTTGAGGACAGGCAAATACTGGGGAGCTCAGGGTAGAGTTGCCCCTTGTAAGGTTAGTAGGAGTGGGGGGCTTTTTTTTTTTTTAATAAATAAACCTTTTCAATGCTACCTTCCCTGTGAGAAACTACAACTACATACCACTTGTTATGACTGCCACTTTGACATTTGTAAAATTATATACAAAATGTAACTTATTTCAGATTTGTCAAAAGGCATGGTTTAATTTTTAAATAGAAACAAAATCAGTATTAATAAATTATATAGAGAACATAACCGTCAGAAGGGAATGGTGTGTCTGCCAACTATTTGGCGCTAAACCAGCCAGTGTGCTCCTACCCTTCTAAACATCCGGTGTATCGGTTGCTCACGGTGAAGCCTGTTCCTATGACTACTCCAAGCCAAACCACCATAATCATATTGCACAAAAACATAAGAAACCAACTGGTCAGCAACTGGCACTTGTAATTACTGTTAGCAGAGCGTCTAGATAAGCATGTGGCTAAACAGAAGTTACTCTAACAAGAGACTATCACGTGTTGCATTGGAATAGGATACCAGATGACTGCAACATAAAACATAAATTCCCTAATATGTTTAATATTCTAATCTATTTCCGATGACTATAGGGCTGCTAAAGTACTTATAACAAGTATGCTACCAAGGTCTGATCTACCGAAAAACAGAATTATGGTTGGTCCTGTATGTAACACACACCACTGTACCGGAGTATGCTGCCTCCAGAGGGTGTTGTGTGAATACTATTGAAATCGTAGGGAACACTACCAAATGTAAAAAAAATACAATGCCAACCCTTCGATTATATAGAAAATTAAATGAAATTTGGGGAAAGAAACACAATTCTTTGTTTTCCATTGTTCCTGCAGTATATCTAATCCTGAACCAGTGGATAAAGGGGGAAAATGCCCAAAACATTTAATTTGTTCTGCCTGTTCTTAGCCTATGCCAGATGGATACAAGAAATAGATCTGTGGAAATTCTAGAGAAACTTCAGAGGATGCTAAAAAGGCTGAGATTTCATCCTTCATCGCATGGTTCCAGAATTGTTTGCAGCAGACTTAGTCTGCACAGTCATCTCTTTAAATAGATGCATCCAAGAAGTCAGAATCTGTATTTGATCCATTGTTAATATAAGTGTAAACAACTAGAGCAGGGGTTCTCAACCCAGTCCTCAAGGACCCCCTACCAGTCCAGGATTTAGGGATTACCTGGGTGTGTATAAGGTGTTTAGAAAAAGAACACCTAAGACACACCCAGGTAATCTCTAAATCCTGGACTGGTAGGGGGTCCTTGAGGACTGGGTTGAGAACCCCTGAACTAGAGGCTACAGAGAGTAGTTTTGAGTTCTCATCAGACGATTCACAATCTTGTGATTTAAGTGTTTCCTTAGATGAAGAAAATAGTTTCCAGGAAGAGTCTACACAAATTAAATAAAGAAGTACATAACCTCATGGATATAGGAGAATCCTCTATGGTAAAACCTGGCAAGAAAAAAAAAAAAAACAACTCAAGGCTTTTCCTTTGCATCATACAGTGAATCAACTGATGCTGAGAGAATGGAAGTTCCCTTCTAAAAAGACATTTATATCAACTCATTTTAAGACCATATTTGGTATTGAAGAAGAATCTGATTAACGTTTGGAAGTTATGCCTAAATTAGATGTACTGATTGTCCAACTGGGAAAGAAGACCACTTTCTATTGGTGATTCCAGTGGCCTTCAGGATAAAAGAATAGTCCTTGAAAAATGTTTTCTCCAGTGCTGCAGCTCAAAGTAAAGCTCTTATTGCTGGAACATCACTGGCAAAGGCCCAGAGATTGTGGCTAGATACCCTTGAAAAAGTCTATTTGGGTGAATCTAGTGAAGATCGGATTAAACTTTTGAGAAATATCGGAATGGCTTCTGATTTTCTGGCTGATTCCTCATCAGAGATGCTGAAACTGTTCACTAAAGCCATGGGTCTCTGTTGTAGCTAGAAGAACGGTATGGCTGAAAAGCTGGTTGGCGGATTCTACATCTAAAATTTCCATGTGTGATTTATTGTTTGAACAGTGTAGACTATTTGGGTCACAACTGGATGACTTTTTTTAAACGTATGGCAGAAGGGAAGAAGGCCTTACAAGAAGAACGTAAAACATTAGGTACAGACCATCCTTCAACAGGAACAGAGCTTCTTATAGAGATTACTTTTAAAAGTAATAGCAGAAACCAACTAAACTTTAACAACAAAGCGAAAAGAAAAATTTTCTAGGAGAAAAAGGAGCATGAATTATGACACCATTCCTGTTGCAGGAAAACTGATGGAATTATGCTAAGTGGCTGCGCGGTACATACATACATTGTCTGTGAGGAAATTTTTCAGCGGGAAAACCTATAAAAGCAGTTCTGAGGTAACTGCTTGGTGCCAGCGAAACCAATAGCTAACTGTGTTTTTGGGTTGCAGCTGCTTCCCTCCCTCTCTCTTTTTTTTTTTTGGTATTGGTTTTTTATTCGGGTGAAGGTCATCTGCCTTTTCAGTTGGATGGTGGGCTATATGCTATTGATTGTTGATATGTTTAGGTTCTGGCTAATTAGTGCAGAACTATGCAGAGTCGTAAATTCAATCTCTGGGTGGTTTTGAGACCGGAGATTTTCAGTTACAAGTTATCTGGTTTTCAAAGTGAGTTAAGTTGTTACATGTTAATAAACTAAATAAAAGACCACTGACTTTTCTTTCACATATCTGTCTCGGTGTGTTTATCGTTAGTTATTCTTATGTTTGTTTTGTATACGGTCTAATTCTAAAACCTGCAGTGCACAAGGGCACCACAGTTGCGCTGTACTTAGATGACTGACTGGCAAATAACAAGCAACTGACCCATTCATGTAGATTTATACAACTTCTAAAAAAAAAATAATAAATAGTGCATGCTCCTGTATCTTCCAGAAGAAAGAAAAGACTATTAAATTTAACGTCTGGATGTCAGAATCTGAATAGACAACAATATATAAGTTGCTTATCTAACCCAATCAAGATTTACAAGAGAAACTTTACTCTTCAAACCTCTCTGCACTCAACATTAGCTGTGTGAAACATGATATGAATTCTCCATCAGTCAGTTATATAAAAAGATCATAAAAGTGTAAAGCGGAAAAAAAATAAATTACATCATCTGGTTCAAAAGAATTGGCTGTGTCAGAAGACCGCTTTTATTAAATAATACAGAAGTGTGGGATGTCAGAGATTGAATTTAATATCGTAAAAAGAGAACTCAAAGACGAAAAAATTTGGATCATGCAGAAAGCTAGATCATCTAGAAGTAATTGATTCATTGACCACGTTATGGATTTACAAAACTAGCATACACTTTCCCTCCTGTACATATAACCCCAAGTCATTTAAAAAATAGAACAGGAGAATGTTTCTATTCTGGCTGTGATTCATTTCTGTAGACAACTCTTGAGAACGTCTCTCTTCACAGAGATAATCAGACGGGTATCTTAACATCGGAAGTTATTCTATCTCACTTGTCTATAACTGAATATGTTCTAGATTCCATTACTGGTGTATTAAAAAAAAAAAAAAAATAACAACCCATTATTATTATTATTATTGCCATTTATATAGCGCCAACAGATTCCGTAGCGCTTACCCATGCCTCTAATCTTATGTTTACCATTTTCAAGAAAGTCTTAGTTTTGTTTGAAACACTGATGGAGATTCTTCTATGTGTTCTAACAGTGAAAAGACCACTGTAACCATGTCAAAACACTAGAAACTTGGGAGGGGTACTGCTGAGTTTTGTGACATAGTCTTGAATGGAAACACATATCCATGCAAAAACATGCACACAGGTACGTACATACATACGTACATAAGTACATTCATACATATGTATGTACAATACATACTGTGACATACCTACACACATTTACGCATGCAGACTCTTATTACACTGTCTGACAAACTAATTAAATGCTCCATTTCCCCTATATGTGCAGTAGGCAGGGCTGGATTGGCCCACCGGGATACCGGAAAATTTCCCGGTGGGCCGCGGCACTTGGGGCTGGGCTGATAGCCCTAATCATTGCTCAGGCTCATGTAATCCTGGCCGGCTATGTGTGAGCTGTGCGGCCGCACAGGGCCCCATGGGAGCAGGGGGAGCCAGGCGGCCGGCACAGCTCACACATTGCCGGCCGTGATCATAAAAAAAAAATTGTGGCGGGGGAGGAGATAGCATGTGGCGGGGGTCGGAGCCTAGTGTGCAGCGGGGGCGGAACTTTGCAGAGTCGTAAATTCAATCTCTGGGTGGTTTTGAGACCGGAGATTTTCAGTTACAAGTTATCTGGTTTTCAAAGTGAGTTAAGTTGTTACATGTTAATAAACTAAATAAAAGACCACTGACTTTTCTTTCACATATCTGTCTCGGTGTGTTTATCGTTAGTTATTCTTATGTTTGTTTTGTATACGGTCTAATTCTAAAACCTGCAGTGCACAAGGGCACCACAGTTGCGCTGTACTTAGATGACTGACTGGCAAATAACAAGCAACTGACCCATTCATGTAGATTTATACAACTTCTAAAAAAAAAATAATAAATAGTGCATGCTCCTGTATCTTCCAGAAGAAAGAAAAGACTATTAAATTTAACGTCTGGATGTCAGAATCTGAATAGACAACAATATATAAGTTGCTTATCTAACCCAATCAAGATTTACAAGAGAAACCTTACTCTTCAAACCTCTCTGCACTCAACATTAGCTGTGTGAAACATGATATGAATTCTCCATCAGTCAGTTATATAAAAAGATCATAAAAGTGTAAAGCGGAAAAAAAATAAATTACATCATCTGGTTCAAAAGAATTGGCTGTGTCAGAAGACCGCTTTTATTAAATAATACAGAAGTGTGGGATGTCAGAGATTGAATTTAATATCGTAAAAAGAGAACTCAAAGACGAAAAAATTTGGATCATGCAGAAAGCTAGATCATCTAGAAGTAATTGATTCATTGACCACGTTATGGATTTACAAAACTAGCATACACTTTCCCTCCTGTACATATAACCCCAAGTCATTTAAAAAATAGAACAGGAGAATGTTTCTATTCTGGCTGTGATTCATTTCTGTAGACAACTCTTGAGAACGTCTCTCTTCACAGAGATAATCAGACGGGTATCTTAACATCGGAAGTTATTCTATCTCACTTGTCTATAACTGAATATGTTCTAGATTCCATTACTGGTGTATTAAAAAAAAAAAAAAATAACAACCCATTATTATTATTATTATTGCCATTTATATAGCGCCAACAGATTCCGTAGCGCTTACCCATGCCTCTAATCTTATGTTTACCATTTTCAAGAAAGTCTTAGTTTTGTTTGAAACACTGATGGAGATTCTTCTATGTGTTCTAACAGTGAAAAGACCACTGTAACCATGTCAAAACACTAGAAACTTGGGAGGGGTACTGCTGAGTTTTGTGACATAGTCTTGAATGGAAACACATATCCATGCAAAAACATGCACACAGGTACGTACATACATACGTACATAAGTACATTCATACATATGTATGTACAATACATACTGTGACATAGCTACACACATTTACGCATGCAGACTCTTATTACACTGTCTGACAAACTAATTAAATGCTCCATTTCCCCTATATGTGCAGTAGGCAGGGCTGGATTGGCCCACCGGGATACCGGAAAATTTCCCGGTGGGCCGCGGCACTTGGGGCTGGGCTGATAGCCCTAATCATTGCTCAGGCTCATGTAATCCTGGCCGGCTATGTGTGAGCTGTGCGGCCGCACAGGGCCCCATGGGAGCAGGGGGAGCCAGGCGGCCGGCACAGCTCACACATTGCCGGCCGTGATCATAAAAAAAAAATTGTGGCGGGGGAGGAGATAGCATGTGGCGGGGGTCGGAGCCTAGTGTGCAGCGGGGGCGGAGCTTACTGTGCGGCGGGGGCCTGGCTAACTGCAGCATGGGAAGCAGGAAGGAGGAGTGTGACTGCCTGTGAGTGTGTGTGTGTGTGACTGTCTGTGAGTGTGACTGCCTGCCTGTGTGTGATTGTCTGAATGTGTGTGTGACTGTCTGCCTGTGTGTGTGTGTGTGTGACTGTCTGCCTGTGTGTGTGGCTGTCTGCCTGTCTCTGTATGTGTGGATGTTTGCCTTGGTGTCAGTGACTGTCTGCCTCTGTGTGTGTGGATGTCTGTGTGTGTGCATCTGTTAGTGAGTGAACGAGCGAGCTTCTGTGTGTGTGTGCGCGCATCTGCTAGTTAGGGAGCCTCTGTGTGTGTGTGTGTGTGCCTGTTAGTGAGTGAGCTTGTATGTGCGTCAGTGAGCTTGACTGTAGGGATCATATGTGTGTGCGTCTTAGTGAGCTTGTCTGTAAGGAGCATGGGTGTGTCGGAGCCTGTTTGTGGTGAGCATGTGTGTACAGTGAGCTTGTCTGTAGTACGCATGAGTGTGATCGTGAGCTTGTGTGTAGTGATCATATGTGTGTCAGTGAGCTTGTCTGTAGTGAGCATGTGTGTGTCAGTGAGCTTGCTTGTAGTGAATCTGTGTGTTAGTGAGCTCTTCTGTAGGGAGCATGTGTGTGTCAATGGGCTTGTCTGTAGGGAGAGTGTGTGTGCATCAGTGAGCTTGTCTGTAGTGAGTGTGTGTGTGTGTGTGACAGTGAGCTTGTCTGTAGTAAGCTTGTGTGTGTATCAGAGTTTGTCTGTACTAAATTTGTGTGTGTGCCAGTAACCTTGTCTGTGTGTGTCATTGAGATTGTCTGTCAATGAGCCTATTTGTAAGATTGTCTGTGTCTGTGTGTGACTATGCTTTACCCTGAAAGAACTAATATTTTGAATTAGAAGAGGAAATGTATCAATAATATTATATACCTATACCTATTATGTACCTTGCACTCAGGCTTCAAAGTTGTGTGACCGGGTGCATCACCAGGGCTCCAGTATCCAGGCAATTGAAATAGTTTGCTGCACTCTCAGATTTCCTTAAAGGACCACTATAGGCACCCAGACCACTTCAGCTTAATGAAGTGGTCTGGGTGCCTCGTCCAGCTAGGGTTAACCCTTTTTTTTATAAACATAGCAGTTTCAGAGAAACTGCTATGTTTATAATAGGGTTAATCCAGCCTCTAGAGCCTCTAGTGGCTGTTTCA